ACTTTCTATTATTGAAATTTGCCAGATTCACTGTTATGTTAGTACTTATCCTTGAGTTGAGGCATAAATAGTCCTTACCTTCTCTTTCTGCTTATATTTTAGCTTTTTCAATGTTTATCTTTCAATGAGCTTTTTCAACTTAAAAATAAAAGAGGGGACATCTTTCAATGCTTCTACATACATCTAGCTCTTTCTCTTTTTGAACAAGAATATTAGTTTCTTCTGTTTTTTCCTTTCTTTTGCATATAATCCTCTAGTTTCTTGTTTTATTCCTTGTATAATAATTATATTGACTGGAAATATGAAAAAATGTCAATTGTTAGTTTTTTACCCTTCATCCATTGGTTGATTAAGAACGAACAAGATTCATCGCTATTTTTCGTGAGCTATTGAGTTTGAGCAGATGGAAGTGTTTTTCGATATTGGATGTGTTTAATGGACATTAGGGGTGAGGATAAGCTTAAAATTCTTACTGATATGGACTTAAAACTGTGACCAGAATTATTATGTTATAAAACAATACTGCCAGAAATGAGAAGTCAAAGGATGAATCTTCCCCCATTTATATATAAGTATTACGTAAATAAGCTAGTTTCATGTTTTTTTGTGCTTATAACAAAACATATCAAGTTACTTTTAAGTTTCTTCTGGTCTCTAGGAAAAAATATTCTCTATTCAGGTTAAACTCAAATCTATAAATGATGTATACTAGTTGGAAGGAAAGATGTTGAAAATTCAGACTTTGTTAGTTAGTTGTCTTGTTTTGATGATTTTTTTTTTGATCGGCTGATATTCAATTAGAAGACAATCTTTTCATCTTAGGAAACCTGTACACCAGTAAATTGTGCAGAGTTGCTGAAACCTAGAGGTCCAATTTATTTGAATTTCCTCCACAACTGATATTAATTGCTCAAATAATATTTTAGTCTGTAAGGGATAAGCAGAAAGAAGGAATTATTCATAAATTTTTTGCTTTGACCTTTATCCCAACAAGGATTCACATCACTTAAACCTGAAGTCTAGATTTTGTACTGATACAACTAAGCTTTGAACTAGGTGATAACCTTAGGTATAACCGATACATATCTTTTTAATGCAGCATCCCGTTCTCTATTGATGAAGTCTCAGAATCACTTCAAGTAAAGGATTTTGCAGATGTCAAACCTGCAACAGAACTTATCGAGCATCCAGCCTTCCCATTTTTACACGAGTGAGGCCATGGAACCTCGAGGGTTTCTTGCATTATAGTTACAGATTTGTTGAAAATATCCTAGGTGGATATATTCAATTTGTTGTATATTCATTCTTCTTATTCCCTTTCAATTTTTTAATACCAAATATAGATTGCTGTAAAATATTTTTTTCTTCTTCTTTTGTGTTTATAATTGTAATTCCAATAGCATAAGGTTCAGAGTCAGCAAGTAGTCAAATTTTGTATTTGTTTTGGTGCAAAGAGCAGCAGCAACAACATTCTTTTATCAGGAATATATAGGGCAAAGTAATAGTGATGGGTGTAAAAGTTTTGTATTCTGTCCACATTTCATTATGTAATGAAACAGAAATATTGAACTCAACTATTGTCTTATGGGAATCATACCAAGGTTGATCTTAATTTGTACAAGTGTTGTTCTCTTGCTATTATCACTCATTTCCTGTTTGTACAAAATTTGAAGTCACTTGTGGAGATTTAAATAGGTTTTAAACAAGAATTTGCAACTAGATCTTTGTTAGTTAGCGGCACATTATACACTTTTATATAAGGTGAATACATTTATTCAAGATAAATACATTATTTAAGAGTTTATACGTATTACTCCCTCCGTCCCTATTTACTTGTCCATATTTCCTTTTTTAGTTGTCCCTATTTAGTTGTCCATTTTGACAAATCAAGAAAGGACAACAAATTTTTTCCTATTATACCCTTATTTACACTTCTTGAAAATTGTAAAAGTGTATGTTGTTTCCCTCCAATTTATTTCACTTTAATTCAAATAAGTGGTTGTAATTTTGTAGTGAAAAGTTGTCATAAGAGTAAAATTGTAACTTCACTGTGCTAATCATTGTTGCCTTAATCTGTGTGCCATTTCTAAAGTGGACAACTAAAAAGGGACGGAGGGAGTATATAATAATGTATACATACTGCGACAAAGAAAAAATAGTTAATACAAATACAAACTAGAGAATTGCTAATATGCTAAGTATTGTGTTAGATAGTGTATTTTTGAAAGGATGAATGCTATTTAACACATCCAAGTAAGAAGGAAACGATACTACTCCCTCCGTCTTCTTTTAATTGTCATGTTGTGCTTTTCAAAAGTCAATTTGACTAATTTTCAAAGTTAAATTAGATTACATTAATTAGAATGTTTTAAATAAAAAATTTAGATATTCAAAAACTATACGAAAAATACTATAAATTGTAATTTTTTGCATATCAATATGATGAAAAAATACATAAAAAAATGTTAGTCAAAGTTCTTAAGTTTGATTCTATAAAAGGAAACCATAATAATTAAAAGTGAACGGAGGAAGTATAAAAAGAACATGCATATATAATCATTGGGTGGAAATGGAATGTGGATAGGACAAGTTTGTAGTTGAATTTCCAATAATATAATTTAATGAAAAAATAGACATGTATCTGAAAATGAAGAAAGTAGAAATTACATTTTGCAGAATTTGTGTTTTTGGGACCTCATGCAACATGATTTTCTTAAATACTTTCAAAGAATTACTTAACCACATATCCTCCATGCCCTCACCATCACTTATTAAGAGTTTTGGGACCGTAATATTTATTCATTTATTTGGACCACCAACAAAAGGAAAAAAAAGATGTTTAAACAAGGGAAAATTACATAAATTGGATCTATTAGATAAAATATTTATCCAAACTGGATTCAATTCAGTATATTTATTTTGATCGGATCCACGGTCCAAACTATTTATCTGACTGCCCTTTTTGTTCCATTCATTGAACCACTGCTGATACCATTGAAGTATATATATACTGATGGTATCTATATACTTTAATAGTATCAAGTAATAATTGAACAATCTTTTCACTGAAATACTGTCTCTTTCTCCTTGATACCAACAGAGTATATATATACTCTAATGATATCAAGGAGTAACTGAAATAGTGTTTATTGACGCACTACTTCTTCCTCTTTAATACCATCAAAATATATAGTTAAAATAAGGATGGTATAAAAGTAAAGAAGTAACCTCTAAATAGTTTTCTTTTTTGGTACAAGTATTCTTTTCCTTTTAAACAAATGATGTGTTAGAGCCGCCAAATGAAATATTTAATTGCAAGAGAGTTCATTATCATACAGCACTCCGCTTAAATTTTGAACTACGAATGAACATCACTATTGCTACTAGCTTAATACTCCCTCCGCTTCTATTTAATTGTCATTATTTTAGATTTTACACTCCTTAAAAAATTAGGTAAGATTATCATTGTATCCTTATTTAGTGTTCTCTTGAAGTCAACTTTCAATGAATGAACATATATTAATTTACTTTGATTAACTAATTTGACCAATGAAACTGAATTAATAAGTTAGTTTCTCTATGATGAGCAAATGTATGAGAAAGTATTTTGAAATATAAAAAAAATCATACTATATGAATAAGTTCATGTAATTGAAATCGTACTATATAAAAACAAAAATAAAAAAAATTAATCAATAAAAAAACTCTCGAAAACATATTTGAAAAATAAATAAAATTCAAATTAATATTTTTTATTTTGGATTCAAATTAATATAACCTTATTTCTATTACATGTAAAATTCTATACGAGGAAAACTAATTAAACCATAGAATAAACCATATTTACAAAAAGAGTATTAGGGATAATATGAAAATTGTACAATAAATTCGCTTAAAACTAAAGTTACATAATGATTTAATACAAAAATTTGTTATTAATAATTTTTACAATAAAGATTGTAGAATATAAATTTTGTTTGTACTAAAAGCATTTCACATAAATCATATTAATTTTTGTTCTTTAAATGTGTATTTTTTTTTAATAATTTAATTTTAAAGTAAAATAATCGCGCATCGCGTGGACACGTATACTAATTTAATTAACATAAGATCTTTTTTCTTTCTTATTTCTCTACTCATACCTCCATAATTTTTTTAAAGAACATCGCCTACTAACACTATTTGTTTGAATTGATGGCTTTTACTAAAATGACCAACCAACTTGAGGTTTTAGTATCATTTTCAACACTTAAAAACATATTAAGAGTTGAAAATGATACTAAAAGCCTAGGTTGGTTAGTCATTTTTCAATTAATGACAGTGTAGCTGTTGCACATAACTCAACTATTTGTCATACGTACTCATCGTATAAATAGGATTTATCACATATATGTGGTGGCTCTTATTTTTCCTCAAAAGATTGACCCTATCCATTTGATTAAGATTGATCTGGACCACACAATCAAAATAATATAAATTTTAGATTAATAGTATCACATTCCTCATAAATATAAATGATAACAAAAACGTCTGAATGATCCATCTCATTTTTTTAGATTAGAATCCCTGAAACGGCTGAATCATATATTAAAGGAAAAAATTGAAATTAATTAAGCAACGCCTGTGATGGTGGATCATCGAATCAAAAGTGGGAAGCAAAGAGTCTTTTAAGTCAAATATCAATCCTTCTAGAGAGAAAAAATGATAGCGATTGTGTTGAAAAAAATAATCACCCCTAACTAACTATATAGTATATGTATATACAATACCATCAAATTGTGTTAAAAATTGATTGTTATAATATTTAATCATATAGGACTTTTAAAATACACCAACATCTTCGATTCTTGAAATTTGATGCAAGTGTGAACGTAAACGTATAAAGTAGGAAAATCAGTGCATTATTTTGACCACTTGTATATAGACCACCTCTGCTTTCTACTCAAACTATTTTCTCATTACAACAAACAATTCAGAAACAAAGAAAAAAAAGGACAAAAATGTCTAGTTTTTCAGATAAAGATAGATGTGTTTGGGTAAATGGCCCTGTTATTGTTGGTGCTGATCCATCAGGATTAACTGTTGGAGCTTGTTTGAAAGAACAAGTTGTCCCTTGTGTTAGATTGGAACGATCTGATTGTATTGCTTCTTTATGGCAGCAAAGAACTTACGATCGATTAAAGCTTCACCTACCTAAACAATTTTGTCAATTGCCCAAATTCCCATTTCCAGAACATTACCCTCAGTATCCTTCTAAGAGACAATTCATCGAATACCTTCAGTCCTATGCTACACAATTTCAAGTTGTTGTTGTTGGTTGTGGAAATTCCGGGATGGAAGTATCACTTGATCATTGTAACCATGATGCTCAACCATCAATGGCCTGTCGTAGCGCGGTAAGTTATTCATACTATGTATTCAGCTTTTAGATAAGTTGTGTTAAGATGTCCCACATCAGTAGAGGAATGAGAATTTGATCTCCTTATATGAGCTAACTTTTGGGGTTCAGTTAGGCCTACGTGACATATATTAACAAAATGTTTTCAGAGTTAAAGATTTCTAATAATGCTTTTTTTTTTTTTGTAATTTTAAGGTTCATGTTTTAGCAAGAGAGATATTTGGGAAATCCACTTTTGAGCACACTCCAGGGAAAATCCCTGTTCTTGACATTGGTGCTTTGGAGAAAATCAGATCCGGGAAAGTTAAGGTTTTTCCTGGAATCAACAAGTTTTCATGTGAATTTGCCACTGGCTACTTCAGCAATGTTCCATATTGGCTAAAGGTGAGAAAATTTTGTATTGATTTTAAATAATAAAAAGAAAACATACGTAGAATGCAAGATTCTTTAACAATTGTCTTATTTTGTTATGTTTTACAGGAAAGTGAATTTGTGTGCAAGAATGATTACCCAAAAGCACAATATCCTAACAAGTGGAAGGGAAAATGTAGAGTTGGATTCGAAAAGAGAAGGCTGGCAGCTGGTGCTTCTGCATTCATTAGGAAAGGACAAAACTCTGCTCATAGAATTTCCTTTAAATTTTAAAACACTATTGTGGAGGTTGTAGTCGATATGATATCGATAAACATATTTACCTTACCTTTATTGTTCACTTTTGAAAAGAAAGTTATAAATTCTAGTGGAAGTCTTTTTTGTTTGTTGAAAATTTATCAACTCATTTGACATACAAATTCTGCTTTACACACCCTTTCTACACTTATCTGTTATACTAAATGCTTTTCCTTGAATTAAGGCAGAAACAAGTCCTTGCTTTTTCTCTTTTTCTGCTTATAATTATAAATAGGATATCTTTCGGTGCTTCTACCTTTTTGAGTAAGAAAAAAAGGATTTAAAATATTGGGTTCAAGGATTTAGTTGACAAATGGTTAAGTATGAACATTTAGACTTTAGAATACAAATTCATACAAGTATAAGGGTTCATTAGATCATTTCACTTAAAAAGTTATACCGCCAGAAATGAGAAGGCAGGGGATGAAGTAGGTCACCCTCCACCCCCGCCATCATATGTGATATATAAAAACTGAAGGCTAGATTTTGTATTGATACAACTATGCATCATCAAGTATGCAATCTTGAAGTTGAAATTTTTTTCTTAACGGGTTAATCGATAGCCTAATAATAAATTAATTAATTATATTTATATTATTTGGTAAATAAAGTCTTTGACTTAGGATTTCATACTTTTAGTACTGGCTATCTAGAACTTTCGGTTATTCTAGAATATGCTGGTGTTTATTTTTGAGCAAGATGCAATCTGTCATCTCGTGAGCATGGTTTAATTGGTTTTTCACCTTGTTTCTAAGTAATTTTCAATTCTTTATTTTTGTTTTAAATCTTAACAGTTAAACCGATAATAATCAATAATCGATAAACTGATAAGTCAATTTCTTAATGATTATATAACGGTTTAGCATGTCTACAAACCAATAAAAAATAAATCGAACCAATAAACTTCAAAAGCGAATCTAACCGAGCGATACACATGCCTATTCAAATGTCATTGAAGAGTACGAAAGGTTGCATTTGTCCATTTTTATTCAGTCTCACTATTTATATATAGTAGTTAGTTTATCTACAAGTAATATTTCATTTCCAAAAAGTGTATGGTTGGGTAAGAAATTGAAATTTTCATATTTTCAGTCACTTAGATCAAGCTTATAACCAAATTAAAATAACTCACTGTAACGACCCATTTGGTCGTTTTGAGTGCTAGAGCTTTTTATTTCAAAAAATACTTTTCGATAGATTCTAAATGGATATTTTGGACTATTCATAACTACAATTATAGAATTAATGGGGTGCTTTTAATAATTTATTTAGTTGGTGGTTAAAGAAAATAACATTAAAATTTATAGTGGGTCACTTTCACACTTTTATAGTTGGTCTTATATAATAATTAAGGAGTAAATATTCTGTAGAAATAAATTATAGGGTTTAGTAGTTATGTAATTATTAATTAGTGGATAATTATTAACCCTAAATAATTAAAAGAGGAGAAAAGAAGACTTACAACCGAGCGAATCCTTACCTGCGGCGTCGAAGAAGTACCAGCGAATCAGGTAAAGAATCAACCAAATCATAACTCTTGTGTATTTTATATATGAACATAGATTGTATGATTAATTATTTAATAATGGGGTGAAAGAATCAGAAACAGATATATAGATGGTGCTGCTTTGAACTTGGGTGGTAATTAATGATAGGAAAAGTTGGGTGGAAATCCTTGGAATGCATTAATTACTCATTAGTCTTATATATTCAATTCTATTATTGTCCATTTTTAGTAAATGTTAGGCGCTAATTCATATTATTATTATTATTATTATTATTATTATTATTATTATTATTATTATTATAATGTTGGGGGCAAGAAAATTGAGGTGTTGTATTTATAAGGGTGTGTGTATTGATATGACTAATGGAAAATATAATCAGTAACTAAAGTTCCTAATTGGGGCAACTGATTGGAGTACTGGTTGTGAGAATATTTTATAGGAGTAAGGTCATCATGGAATCTGGGTATTGCCATCGTGCAATATTTATGCAGGAGTATGGTTGAGGGTTGGCTGCCACTGGTTTCGTAACCGGTGGCTTCAAACATTTAATATTAGTATTGTGTTCTCGTATTATAAATTATAATTCGACATATTGAGATAGGTAATTAAATATAAGGCATAATATATTAATTGAAAGTTATGCAAATTGGAGGAAAATTGATTATGGAATCGGGTGAAATTTTGGGTCTAGGCTAGACATATAGTAACGTGGGTGGTGTCTATAGATTCGTTAACTTACAAATTATGCATACTTGATAGATTGGAAACGTTCGAAGGTGTTAAGGAAAGGAAAGGCATTGGAGAAGTAGCTTGCCTGACGTCAGTTCTTCGGTGGAGGTAGGTTATGGTTTATTCTATTTGATAGATAAACTCTTAATAGCGATTGATATGCATTGAATGATACTGTGAAGTTCTCTATGTACTTGATTGTGTGATTGTGTAGCTTGGTTGTGTGGTTTGTGATTGGTCTAAAATCCTGAGACCGTGAGATTATAATCTGAAAACTTCTCTATCGAAGTGATGCCTTGAATAAAGAAGGCATGATGTAATATTATTAATGAATTGAAAAGTGGTAATAATAAATGATAAATTAATAATATTATTGGATCGGAGTGTCACGTTCCGACACGGTATTTTTGAATCGGAGTGTCACGTTCCGACACGGTATTTTTGGATCGGAGTGTCACGTTCCGACACGGTATAATTGGATCGGAGTGTCACGTTCCGACACGGTAACATTAAAGGAAAAAGATATTGAATTAACTTAATGTACTCAATCTCAATGAACGCATTTCCCAAACGAGTGTGATGTGGAGGCATGAGTCCTCGTGTGTGTGCTTGATATTGTGATTGATCACGTACTTGTTTTAACTGTCACTTGTTCATGTTGTTGTTTCTTAGCACCTGCTCAGTGCTATAGTTGACTTTATACTATTATTCATTGTATATTAGTTTCTATTTTGGGTTGGCCGATGATACCTACTCAGTACATGTTGCCCTGTACTGATCCCTACTTGTATTTTTCTTTGTTTTCCTTTTATGGAGTGCAGCGAGTGTACCAGCAAATTTGACTAGCCCTCAGCTCTAGCCAGTCTCAGAATATCGGGTTTAAGGGTGAGCTATGCATCGAGCTTGTGTTGGATTCTCTCAGTCATGACTTGATGTCCATAGTTTTCGGACACAAATTGCTCTATTTCATTTATTTCGTTGTCTTTGATACTCTTAGACTTAGTATTTAGAGATTAGATGTCCTTGATGTGATGACTTTCAGATTTTGGGGATAATATGTAATAGACTTTAGAGGTTTATTTGATTGGTTACTTTAATAAGTTTTGGAGCTTCCGCGTTATTGTTGCTATTAGTAGTTGAATTATTGGTATGTGTTGGGGTTTAGATTCCTTGGTCCGCCCACTTAGGAGGTTAAGTGTGGGTGCCACTCATGACTCAATTTGGGTCGTGACACTCACATATTACCATCCTTAACGTGAAAGATGTCATTTCTCCTATTTCTCTTGTTAACCTATTTGTCTCTTGATTGTATTGGTTGACAAACTTGATTTGCTATTGCGTTTGAAATTCAAATCGTGATATATATTAGATTATAGATTTTGTTATATTTGAATGGTGAAAATTAAATTAGAAGGATCGCTCACTATTATTGAACAAGCTCGAAGAAGTGAGTTTGAACTTTAAATATATCTTTGTGAGAAATTTGAAAATAATCTATGACGGTTTTCTACAAAATTTGAATACATTTGTGGGGACTTGGATAGGTTTTGAACAAAAATTTACAACTAGAAATCACAGGAAAATTTTGTTCTTGTAGTTAATGACATAATATACACTTGTATATAAGGTGGATACATTTTTGTACAAGATATATGCATTGTTCATACGTGTTTATACATACTCCCTCGGTCCCTAATTACTTGTCTACTTTTGAATTGACACACTTATTAAGAAAACAATAATTGATATAGTGAGTTTACCTTTTACCCCTATTAATTATGAAGTTAATGAATTAAAAATTTAAGATTTTTAAGAAGTTCTACCTTTTTCAAAGTAATTAATTGAGGGTATAATAAGTAAAAATTTTTTGTCCTTTCTTGATTTGCCAAAATAGACAAGTAATTAAGGACAACTAAAAAAGAAAAAGTGGACAAGTAATTAAGGACAGAGGGAGTAATGTATAAGGATGTATAAATACTGTTTCAAAGTAAAAATAGTTTTGCAAATATAAACTAAAAATTGCTAATGTGCAAAAATTGTGTTGGATAATGTATTTTTGAAAGGATGAACGTTGACAACATGCTTTAAAAACATGCAAGTAAGGTTAGAGCTTAGTAAGGTTAGATCTTTTGAGTCCTGTCAATAAAAAGATACATACATAATCATTGGGTGGATAGGACAAGTTTGTAGTTGAATTTTTAATAATATAATTTAATGGAAAAATAGACATGTATCTGAAAAGGAAGAAAGTAGAAATTACATTTTGCAGAATTTGTGTTTTTGGGACCTCATGAAGATGCTTTTCTTAAATACTTTCAAAGAATTAACCACACGTCCTCCATACCCTCACCTCACCTATTAAGAGTTTTGGGACCTTAATATTTATTCATTTATTTGGACCACCAAGAAAAGAAAATAAGAAATAAGGAATATAATCAATAGTGCTAAAAGTTAAAAGCAAATTTCTTGTCCCAAAGATAATTAGGTTTTGATTAAACAAATGATGTTTTAGAGCCATCAAATGAAATGTTTAATGGCAAGATATTTAATTAATACCCCATTCATCAATTTTTACTTATCCACTATACTATTTTGGAATGTCTAACAATACTTGTTCAGTTTATAAAATCAATGAATAATTTACCATGTTGTGTCTATTTTATCCTTGCTACTCTCTCTGTCCACTTTTAATTGTCATGTTGCACTCTTCGAAAGTTAATTTGACTAATTTTCAAAGTG